TAACATCTGTAATTGTAACAAACATGATGCTGACACTAATTATGATGTAATTGAACTGTGTAATTATATCATTATGTACCTTGTTGGGGTTTCTCCCCTTTTTCATTTGCATTGAAAATCTTTAATAAAAAAAATTCAACAATATTATTACTCTATAGCTGTAAAAAAAAAAAAATCACATCTACAGAATTTTTGTTATTTACAGATGAGAATTTGTTTCAATAGGTTTGTCTTTTCAAACTCTATGTAATACCTAAATGACCTGAATATGTCAGAGCACATCTGCAGCAGACTTTTCACAGAGTAACACAGTTTACATTATAGGGTGTTGCATACCTTACCAGGATAGGAGCGAGATAAGTGCTCCTTCAGTGTATGCAACCACCATTCTGAAATGTGCATTCAGTCTCAGTGCATGCATACAAATTCGATTTGAGCTCTGCAAACATGAGACTGTTAGATTTGGCGGGGCATATTTATAAATAAATGGCTTACTAAAATGTGTATTCTATTTGTTAGTGCTGTCTGTGACATTTTATTTGCATTAATAGTTACATTTTCAGGACATACTCTCAGGGTGTTCTTTTCCTCTTGCAAGCAATGTGGTTAAACCAAGAAGGGAGCATCCTCAAAGCTTGCCTTGAAAATGTAACTGTTGCTGCAAATAAAAAAGCATTACAGAAAGTATTCACTTGTTTTGTTGCAGGAGTACTAATGCCACTATAATCACCTTATGGAATTTCTTAATACCCTATCTTTGGGAGCCTGTGCACCAAATGTCTGCCACATTTATAGAGGACTGAATAGCCTAATGGCATACGATGAATCAGTGAACTGTTTGGTGAAACTTTTTCTACATTTTCAGGAGAATGTGTTGCATTTTTACATAACTAGAACTAACTTGGAGGAAGATGGAGAATATATACTACAAGTAAGTCTGCTCCCCATGATTATAGTAGTAACCAGGGGCAGACTGACAGTTCATGGGGCCCCCGGGCAACAGGGGATCATGGGACCCTGTGTCTTTGCCCAAACTCAAAAAAGCCTATGAAAAAAAAGGTACCAGGGGCATCTCATGGGGCCCCCTACTGACCCCAGGCCCTCGGGCAGTGCCAGAGTTTCCAAATGGTTAGTCCGCCCCTGGAGGTAACCATGCAAACCTTTTGTTCTCAAAGTCCCTCTAGCACCCACGTAATGCAGAGAGTAGTGTAGAAGTTAGGGCAGTTTGATTCAAAATTTATCTCCAGCAATAATATTTTACTTCTCCTGTTAACTGAACCCTAGTATATGCATTGTACAGGTTCAGTTTAAATGACTTAGCAGACCACACAACATAGATGGGAACATTTCACTACCAGAGGAGTAGCTTAAAGCTTGAGGACCCTGATGCAGAAGTTGACCAGGGCCCCTCCACTACCACCCACCACTTTCACCGTGCACCAAGGTACTCCTGCCGAGCGCCACAATACTCCAAGTGGATAAAGAGTTGTTTCATATCTTTATTTACATATTGAGAGGGTAATTCAAAAGATTTTGGAGAAAAACATTTTTACATACATGCTGCACCTTTCTAATTCTTTTGAATACCCTGGAACATGGGCAGGGTTACCACTGCAACCTCTGCGATCCCTCAAGCTTTGCCTATGGACTTGCTATAAGAGATGATCAGAGACTACAGACATGCTGCAAGAGATAGTCAGATACTAAAGGCATGGTGCAGTTGATGATCAGTGTCTACAAACATGCCACAGGAGTTGTTAGAGACTAGAGATATGCTTTAGGACAGTGGTTCTCAACCTTTCTAATGCCGCGACCCCTTAATACAGTTCCTCATGTTGTGGTGACCCATCACTGGTGTCAGCGGGAGGAAAAGTGCCCCAACATTGCTATCAGTGGGAGGAATAGTGCCCCATCATTGGTATCAGTGGTAGGAATAGTGCCCCATCATTGGTGTCAGTGGTAGGAATAGTGCCCCATCATTGGTGTCAGTGGGAGGAATAGTGCCCATCATTGGTGTCAGTGGGAGGAATAGTGCCCCGTCAGTGGGAAGAATAGTGCCCCGTCATTGGTATCAGTGGGAGGAATAGTGCCCCGTCATTGGTGTCAGTGGGAGGAATAGTGCCCTGTCATTGGTGTCAGTGGGAGGAATAGTGCCCCGTCATTGGTGTCAGTGGGAGGAATAGTGCCACGTCATTGGTGTCAGTGGGGGGAATAGTGCCCCATCATTGGTGTCAGTGGGGGGAATAGTGTCCCATCATAGGTGTCAGTGGGGGGAATACTGCCCCATCATAGGTGTCAATGGAAGGAATAGTGCCCCATCATTGGTGTCAGTGGGAGGAATAGTGCCCCATCATTGGTGTCAGTGGGAGGAATAGTGCCCCATCATTGGTGTCAGTGGTAGGAATAGTGCCCCATCATCATGGGAGGAATGGTGTCAGTGGGGAGGAATAGTGCCCCATCATAGGTGTCAGTGGGGGGAATAGTGCCCCATCATAGGTGTCAGTGGGGGGAATAGTGCCCCGTCATTGGTGTCAGTGGGAGGAATAGTGCCCCGTCATTGGTGTCAGTGGGAGGAATAGTGCCCCGTCATTGGTGTCAGTGGGAGGAATAGTGCCCCGTCATTGGTGTCAGTGGGAGGAATAGTGCCCCGTCATTGGTGTCAGTGGGAGGAATAGTGCCCCGTCATTGGTGTCAGTGGGAGGAAATAGTGCCCCATCATAGGTGTCAGTGGGGGAAATAGTGCCCCATCATAGGTGTCAGTGGGGGGAATAGTGCCCCATCATAGGTGTCAGTGGAAGGAATAGTGCCCCATCATTGGTGTCAGTGGGAGGAATAGTGCCCCATCATTGGTGTCAGTGGGAGGAATAGTGCCCCATCATTGATGTCAGTGGGAGGAATAGTGCCCCATCATTGGTGTCCCAGTGGGTGGGAGGAATAGTGCCCCATCATTGGTGTCAGCGGGAGGAATAGTGCCCCATCATTGGTGTCAGCGGGAGGAATAGTGCCCCATCATTGGTGTCAGTGGGGGAGGAATAGTGCCCCATCGTTGGTGTCAGTGGGGGGAGGAATAGTGCCCCATCGTTGGTGTCAGTGGGGGGGGAGGAATAGTGCCCCATCGTTGGTGTCAGTGGGGGGGAGGAATAGTGCCTTATCGTTGGTGTCAGTGGGGGGAGGAATCGTGCCTCATCGTTGGTGTCAGTGGGAGGAATAGTGCCCCATCATTGGTATTAGTGAATCCAATGATGGGGCACTATTCCTCCCACTGACACCAATGATACTTACCTTGCTGACCCCTGCTCCAGCCTGGGCTCGCTCCCTCCCTCCCTCTCTCTCCCTCTCCCATGGTACAGACACTTACCTGTCAGCTGTCTTCCTTCTCCGGCCGCTCTCCTCCTCTTCACCCGCTCGATCTTCGCGGTGCCGCTCGGCTCCTCCTCTCCAAGCTCCACCTCCTCGCCGGTGATTGGCCGCCTGTGTGCCTCTCCTGAGCTACAGTTTCGGCGGCCAATCACCGGCGAGGATTGATCCCGAGGGTGTGTCCAGATGACAGGGGCGCCTTGTCATCCCACCCACACCTGGAGACGGATAGAGCAGCGGTGTCTCGGTTCCTAACACCATCGGAAATATGTGTTTTCCGATGGTCTTAGGCGACCCCTGTGAAAGAGTCGTTCGACCCCCAAAGGGGGCGCGACCCCCAGGTTGAGAACCGCTGCTTTAGGAGATGTATCATAGACTAAAAAAATGTATATTAATCTTCAGGAGTCAGTGCTTAATATATACTCATATGTAACAAATAACAAATATAAAAATAATGCAAAAGAAAGGAAAAAGTCCTTTAAGTGTGATTGTTGCCAACCAAATGTCCAATATAGTGTATTAAAGTATCCATTCTTCCAATATATTGTGTACAGTGAAAATGTAACCATCCTTCAGTATCTCTACATATTTGCCACTCAACACCATCTAATGGAATAGAACTCACCGGAAGGACCGACCTCCAAATTATAGTGTAGTCCTTCTGCACCACACGTGCATGGTTAAGCAGAGCTGAGCAGGGCGGGAAAGGAGGGCTGTACTGGGCTGGAAGGGGAGGCTGAGCAGAGAGTGCACTGCTGGGGGAAAGGGCTTGTCCCATCACCCTGTGCAAGTGAAACCAGAAACTCAGATGGCCTGGATAGGCCTGGGAGGCCCTGCCTGGCCAGCCCAGGCCCTTTGAGTTTACTGAATTATGTATCCAGGGTGATGCAGCAAGCACTTTTCCCCAGCAGCACAATGTAAAACCTAATGTGACAGGGAGCATGAGCGGGATCTCCACTGCGACCCCTTTCACCCCTCATGCTCTGCCAATGCTCACTACCTAAACCAGCATAGGTCAACAGCCACTTTTCCACCTCAAAATAAAAATCAAACCATAGACACACTGCATAGCACAGATCCACATACTTATTGTAAATAATGATAAAACAGAAAATATTGCACTTGTACTGAGTACACTGGCCCAATTTGCACTATAGTATTAGTCAGCATGAATGCTGCTAGATGAACCACCAGGAAATTCCTGCTATGCTGGTTCAAACAATTTTCCCCAGGAAGCAACAATGACAGCATCCCAACTTAAGGAGTAACCCAGCTTGCCCAAGTTATCCCTATACTGTCCCTGTGCAACAGATGCAACGCCACTGACACATTTTAGGGCCATATCCCTTGATTAGGCAATGACATATCACCCCTCCTGTAAACTAAACCCCTAGTATGGGCAACATACAGGTTCACTTTAAACTACTTAGCAAATCATTTTCAGCTGAAAAAGTAAGGACTTTTGTACAAGTTCGCCATGCAGCTTGACAGCCAACATCAGCAGAAACGTGTATTGTTTATACCACTTGTCACTGATATGTACACTATATTGCCAAAGGTATTGGGACACCCCTCAAAATCATTGGATTCAGGTGTTCCAATCACCTCCATGGCCACAGGTGTATAAAATCAAGCACCTAGGCATGCAGACTGCTTCTACAGACATTTGTGAAAGAATGGGTCGCTCTCAGGAACTCAGTGAATTCAAGTGTGGTACCATGATAGGTTGCCACCTGTGCAATAAGTCCATCCGTGAAATTTCCTTGCTACTAAATATTCCACGGTCAACTGCTAGTGGTATTATAACAGAGTGGAAGCAACTGGGAACAACAGCAAATCAGCCACAAAGTGGTAGGCCACAGAAAATGACAGAGCAGGGTCAGCGTATGCTGAAAAGCACAGTGCACAGAAGTCGCCAACTGTCTGCAGAGTCAATAGTTAAAGACCTCCAAACTTTGTGTGGCCTTCAGATTAGTACAACAGTGCTTCATGAAATGGGTTTCCGTGGCCAAGCAGCTGCATCCAAGCCTTACATCACCAAGTACAATGCAAAGCATCGGATGCAGTGGCATAAAGCACAAGGCCACCAGACTCTAGAGCAGTGGAGATGTGTTCTCTGGAGTGACAAATCAGGCTTCTCTGTCTGGCAATCTGATGGACATGTCTGGGTTTGGCGGTTGCCAGGAGAACGGTACTTGCCTTACTTGTATTGTGCCAAGTGTAAAGCTTGGTGGAGGGGGGATTATGGTGTGGGAATGCTGTTCAGGGGTTGGGCTTGGCCCCTTAGTTCCAGGGAACTCTTAAGACGTAAGCATACCAAGACATTTTGGACAATTTCATTTTGGCCCCTTCATGTTCCAACATGACTGCAAACCAGTGCACAAAGCAAGGTCCATAAAGACATGGATGAATGAGTTTGGGGTGGAGGAACTTGACTGACCTCCACAGAGTCCTGACCTCAACCCAACAGAACACCTTTGGGATGAATTAGAGAGAAGACTGCGAGCCAGGCCTTCTCGTCCAACATCAGTGCCTGACCTCACAAATGCACTTCTGGAAGAATGGTCAAACATTCCCATAGACACACTCCTAAACCTTGTGGACAGCCTTCCCAGAAGAGTTGAAGCTGTTATAACTGCAAAGGGTGGGCCAACTCAATATTGAACCCTACGGACTAAGACTGGGATGCCGTTAAAGTTCATGTGTGTAAGGGCAGGTGTCCCAATACGTTTGGCAATATAGTGTGTATATATATATATATATATATATATATATATATATATATATTGTGGCAGTGCGGTGTCCTGCCACGGTCAAACTCCAGTTGAAAACCCTGGATTCTCAACCAGGCAGGTTGAGGGGCTCCAGAGAGTTAATGTATTGCAGAGGAAACTGACTTTTCGGTTTCCTCATTTATTTATTAAGTTTGTTTTGGGATCTGGAGCCTGGAGATTTCGAAGAGATCTGGGAGGGATGAAATCTCCAATCCGGGGTCCGTGTTTTGAGAACCCCCAGCACACTGAGTGCACAGGTGTGTACAGGCCTTTTTATAGGGTCCTAACCATAGTTCTGGGCTCCACCCCGGCAAACGGAGTCAGGAGGGCTCCACCCCGGCAGACGGGAGGTCTCTGCCTTGGAGTCAGGTGGAGGCCAGACTAGCTGTGTGCTGGTGCCATATTTTGGGAAGAGTCTGCAGGAGGCAGACTTAAAACTGCGTGCAAGCCAGGAGGCTGAATACTATTAATTTGCTTGATGATGGATACCCCTGCGTGGGAAGCATTCTTGTTTATTTGAACTTTCTTGTAAATAAAAGTGGGCAAAAAGGCCCTTAAACAGATGCGAGTTGCTGTGTGTTTTGAAGAAGAGCTCTACCACTTGAAGCGAGTTCCCACATATATATATATATATATATATATATATATATATATACACACACACACTGTATGTTTTAAATCTAAAATCAAGCAGAAATAAAAGACCACCATTTATTCCAGTGATGCGCTTGTTAAAATAAAATATCCAAACAGATTTTATATATAGCTAGATAAGTACCAGAATCTGTCACATTAGCTTCTTACAATCCCGTGCATAGTATGCCTTGAACTGTGAAAGGGTAAGACAGCAGCGTGAGTTTCAGTCTTTTCTGCAGTGCATACTTTTTCTAATCCAACCCAGACAAGAAGAGGGATTTAGTACTGACAGAAGATTGAAGCAAAGTGAGAGTTTCTGACTCATGCACACAGCCAATTATTGCCGTACACCATCCAGATCAGTATATTTCTGGGGCAAGTGCAGTCAGGCGTATACGGAAAGCCAGTACAATCAATGACAGGCGATGCTGTCCACATGTAAATGCACATGAAATGATTACATGCAGCTAGGGCTCGATCAGATGTGCGGTGCATCACTTTTCAGACGGTGGTTGACAGGCAACTGGGAAGTGAGCCCCCTCTCGATACAGCAATGTGCAATGGAGTCTCTAGCTATCCCGGGACTCCCTCTCCTCATTGGCTGAGACAGAGGTGGGAACCATTGGCTCCCATTGCTGTCAATCACAGCTAGTGAGCCAATGAGAAGAGAGAGGGGTGGGATCAATTCGCAGCTCCAAAGGTGAATGGATACACAGAGCAGCGAGTGACCACATAGCAAGCTGCTTGCTGTGGGGGCACCCAACAGGAAAGAGGGGCAAGGAGTTTTGGCGGAGGACCCGGGAAGAGGAGGATCCGAGCTGTTCTATGCAAAACCACTGCACACAGTTGGTAAGTATAGACATGTTTGTTATTTAATGACTTGCCCTCCAGAGGATTTACCCCCCTTCCTGACCAGGCCATTTTTTGTGTTACGGGGCTGCATTACTTTAACTTACAATTGCGTGGTCATGCAACACTGCACCTAAATGAAATTTACATCCTTTGTCACAAATAGAACTTTCTTTTGGTGGTATGTAATCTCCTGTGCTTTTTTTTATTTGTATAAACAAAAAAAAAAAATGACAATTTTGAGAAAAGACAATATTTTTGACATTTTGCTATTAAACATGTCCAATAAAATAAAATTTAAAAAATCAAATTTCATCATAAATTTAGGGCAAAATTTATTCTGCTAAGACTTTGATAAGAAAAAATCAAAATACATGTAAATTAATTGGTTTACTTGAAATTTATAGCATTTACAAATGGCGGTATATATACTGGATTTTTTTCTTTTATTAGTAAATGGCGGCGATCAGCGACTTATAGCGGGATTGCAGGACTGCGGCGAGCATTCTGACACTGGGGGGAACTGACTTGGTGTCACTGACATCCCCAGTGACACGAATACAGTGATCAGTGCTAATAAAAAGCACTGGCACTATACTAATGGCACTGTTCAGGAAGAGGTTAACATTTGGGACGATTAAAGTGTTAATTGTGTGCTGTGTCCGTGCTTTTCACTGTCAGCACACTGCATTGTGTGGCTCTGCTATGCAGAGCCATATAAAGCAGTGTGCTGGAGCTGACAGGGGAGAGAACTGTATTGTTTACTTACAGTTCTCTCTCCCTGTTGGTATTACTCAGTATAAAAGAAGTTGTGAGCGCTGTGAAAAGTAAAGCAGCACTTTGAAGGAGAGAAATTGTCACAAAGACTGTTTTTGCACTGCATGTTACTCTGCTTGTGACATAATGTTTGGGATCACATTAGTCACTTAATCACTATATATTGATATCTTGGACGTTTTTTACTTAAATACTTGTGATATAGCGCCGCATCTTTTATATTTCATGGTATTACTCAGTGATCACCGGGTGCTGGCGAGTAATCACTGTCCGGACCCGGTGATTGACAGCCGAGGCACAAATGGCAGCCCGGATACCTGGAAATGCAAAATCATGTATATATGCGTGATTTTGCGCACCCCTGCCACCCTGTAGCAGTATTTCTGCTATAGGGCAGCAGTAAAGTGGTTAAAAAAAAAGGCTTCAGAATCACTTTAAGTGCTATTGCAGTTTGAATTAAACTCTGTTACTTAACTGCAATGGGAAAAATGAGTCACCAACTTGGCTATGCTGTTGGCAGGGGTACCTGCATCACAAGAGTGGTTGGACAGAAATGCAACTGTTTTTAGCAAGTGAGAACACCCACAAAATAATCAACACAGGCAATCACAAGGGAACTTACGTAAATAATATTTGTTGGCGTAAAAAATGACTTTTTCTATTTCTGCTTAGGAGGATATACGTAAAATTAGTGTCACACAGGTTTTACTTTAAGTACTTAGCACAATACTTACACTCAGTTCTTAAATAAGGCAGCTTTGAGGAGAATTATGTATACATCAGTGCAAATTCTAATTGCCTCCCTTGGGATTCATATGCTAAAAAAATATATTTTCTATCTAGGTTTAGATTACATTTTGTGTATAATGATACATAAGCATCGAGGAGAGGCTGAAATATTTGAGGAAATATTACTTAAATATAAATATCACTAACTTGAATATAAATGAAGAAAGAGTGCATTACAAACTTCAAGACTGGAACAGAGGCCTCATGAAATGAAACAGCCTGCAAGTCTTACTGACTGCATACAGTCATAATTACAGTATTAGCCACCATGGCAACAGCTGTTTCGTCTGCTTGCCCTAGGGAAAAGGACAGGAGTCAAATGTACAGTGGTCTATGCTAGGGGTTGTGGAAAGTAAAACGGAAATGACAGATGTTGAATCTCAATAAGGGAATTCCCATGCTCCCGAGATTTACCAAAGAAACAATCTCTGTACCTTTATGTCCCATAAGAGCAGATACACAGGTGGAAGCCATGGAAAATGACAGACACAAAACCACACAGTATAAATTGTATGTATTCACTAACAGCTTTATGTTGTCTACAAGCAAACCCATTATTATAGAAGAAATAGGTATAAATGGAATAGGCACTTACTGGCTTAAAGTTCCATAACAACATAACAAAGATTATATGTTATCATAACACTTTAGAACAGGGGTCTCCAAACTTTCTAAAGAAAGGGCCAGTTTCTTCAGACTTGAATGGGGGAAAGGCTGTGCCCAGTGGGAGTAAACAATGACCAATCTTTAGTATTGGGGAAGAAATAGTTGGTGTCAGTGGGAGGAAGAGTGCCCATCGTTGGTGTCAGTAGTAGGATTGTGCTCCATTGTTGGTGTCCGTGGAAAGAATAGTGCCCCATTGTTGGTGTCAGAGGCAAGAACAATGCTTCAAGCGTTGTATAAAGGCAAGCAAAGGGCAGTATCTGGCCCCAGGGCTGCAGTTTTCAGACCACTGCTTATAATACAGTATTTATATAGCGCCAACAGTTCGCTCAGCGCTGTACATTACAATGGGAGACAATACACGAGACAGTACAATAACAATACAAAGCAATACACGAGGGGTTTGAGGGCCCTGCTCCTTGGAGCTTACAATCTAGGAGAGAGGGGATAGTGGTACGGGAGGAATAGCTGTGGGGGATGGAGTGGTAGGAACAGTGGAGGAGATCAGCAATTAGCAGAGGGTG